GAAGAGGCGGCCCGGATTGCGGGGAGGAGTCACTGCGTCCTTCTTCTGCTCGACCGGGGGACCGTACGTCGGATAGCCTCCCAGCGCTGGTGACCTCGTCGGCTGTGGCGCCCCCGCGTTGGCTGCCGCCTGCTGGTGCAGCATCGCCTGGGAGGCCATCGCCGCCGGCACACTCGTCCCGTCGAGAGGTGCTGTCCCAATGCAGGCCCACGCTGATGGAGCCACTCCTGGCGGCGCCCCCGCTGCGAGAGGTGGTGGGCTCTGAGGCTGTGGCTCGGTCATCTGCTGGCCCAGTGACGAAGGATGCCCCGACGGCACTGGCCGTTGTGGAACCTCCCGAGCCCGCGGTGCCCTGGCCTCCGCCTTGGGGGGAGAGTCGATTGCAGCGGCTGCGACCTTGACCTGGTCCGCCTTGCTGCTCGAGCTGCCCTGCGCTATGGCCCTGATCATTCGGCTGGCCTCCTGCGCCTGTCCCTGGGCTGTCGCGATCGCCGTCATCTGCTCTTTTACGGTGGTCGTGACCCGCTCGAGCGCCTTCTGCTGCGACGCCTGCGAGGCCATCACCCCCTGGATCATGGCCTTCATCTCCTGAAATTGACTCTCGACCATACCCTTCATGTCCCTCTCGGTCTTGGCCTGGTACTCGCGCATCTCCTCGAGTGGGTCGGAGGCGGTGTCCATGGCCTCCGTGTCGCTCTCTGGCTTGCGCTTCGCTGAGGACGCCCGGCGAGCTGCTGCTGCTGCGGACCTCTGTTCCGCCTGATCCTTCTGCAGCGCCTCGGTGACCTTCGCCGCGTCCTCCGCCACTCGCTGATACGCCGGCTGCCGAGCCGTCATGAATGAGCCGCCCGCCAGACCTCCGGCCATCATGCCCGGGTGAAGAGGTAACGGAGCCCTCTCGGCTCCAGGAGGTGGCTTGGGCACGCATATCAAGGCCTGCCACTGTGGCTCGGCGGTCGCGCCCTGAGCCCAACCTTGTCCACGCAGCGTGCACGCGGCGTCCTTCTTCTTGCACAAGCACATCTTCTCCTCTTTCACGGTCCCTTTTGTCGGCCTCAGCTCCCAGTGCCCGACCCTCATCGTGCACCCGCTGCATACGAACCACTTCCCCCACGAGTTGGCTCCGTAGTTCACGAGCGTCGGTAGGTGCCAACACGTCTCGTACACCTCCGAGAGGCGACGAAGAGACTTGGGCAGGTTGGTCGGCCAGAAGCGCTCGGCGCGGCACATACTCCCGAACTCTTCGGCCAGACGCGCCGACCAATATAGCACCCACCCGGCCAAGCAGGCCCATCCCTTCTCGCCCTTGTTGAGGTTCTCCGGGACGTAGGTCCCGGTGGCCGCGTAGACACATGCTGAGTCCGTCTGGCTCTGCATGCGATCCGTCATCGTATGCGGCCGCTCCTGAGCTCCACGACGCCCCCTCTGGCCTGCCACGCGGGTCGTCGAAGCAGCTGGCGGCATCGCGATCTGCTCTCCAATCGGCCTCTGAGTTGTCGAGGCTGTTGCCGACTTGCTGTGAGCTGAATGATTCGAGCCCAAGTGCTGCGAGGAAGGCGGACGAAGTCGAGGCTGGCCTCGTGGCCCACGTCGGCCACCTCCAACCCCGCGCTGTCGACCCTCCCCTGGCTCTGAAACGTCTCGACCTGGAACTCAAAGCCCTGGCGAGTCCCGAAGTACACGCACTGCTCAGCGCGGAGTCGGAGGTGCCGCCCGACTCCAGACCCCTTAGTGGACCTGTTCTGGAACCTGAGTTGTCCGGCCCAACTAAGGCCCCGGCGTACGTCCCGACTACATCTGACCTAAGATTCTCCCAGAAAAAGGTCCCGGACCCCCTCGGACGCTCTTCCGTTCCCCTCAGACTCCCCCAGCAGCTTCCGTGGTACAGCCCCCCCAGGCCAGTGCTGACAGAAGACGCGATGATGTACTTCCCCTCGGCTTGAAACGCATCCTTCGGCAGCTGAGGGTGCGACCTAAACACGGAGGCTGGAGCTTTAAAGTCTTTGGCGGGAACCGAAAACTTGCCCACCTGTATGGCGCGGTGGGCCGACGGGAGCCTAGTCAGAGGCGTCGCGACCCCCAACTTCGTAAAAGTCAGAGCTTTGTTCGGAAGATCTACAATCCCACCTAGCATTTCTTGAAATCCTATCGGCAAAAGGGGTGGAACGTCCTGGTCCAGGACGTCCAGCTCCAGCACCCCCATGCTACCCTCAATGCCTACAGGGATCCGAGCGGCGTGGGTGACCCTCACCCCCCCCCCCCCCCACCTACTCCGCGCGCGCTTGGGCCCCTGGGTGGGACCCTTGGGACGGCGAACCCCTTTGAGGCCCAGTGCCCCTCGATCTTCTGCAAAGCTTGCTCTCCCACGAGGCCCTGACCAGCCGCGGCGTCGACCACCATGGCCCCAGGACCTACGGCGAGCAGGACAACTGCGCAGGTTGGAGGAGGAGGCTCGTCAAAGCACTGGGAGGTGGAGTAATCTAAAGCATTCGCGTACAGGAAAGTCATACACGTGGCAGGGGACCCCTTTTCGCCCTTGGCTCCTGCGCCCTGCTTCTGTGGGCACTCTCGAGACCAGTGTCCCTTCTGATGACAGACACGGCATCTCGTGCGCTTAATTAATTCAGCAAGCGGAAGGCGGCTCTTCCGCGCTCTGAACGTGCCGTCTGCTGCCCAGTGGCCGGGCCTGCGAGCCTTCTCGCGCCCATCACTGCGACGGCCCTGGCCAGACCTATCGTAGAACTTCCGGTCGGTCTTCAGCTGTCTCTTCGAGTCGCGGTTATGCCTCCATGTCTTGCGGCGCTCCTGTATAATGGCGGCCAGCGCTGCAGGCGCGTCGTCCTCCCCGACGTCGGCCGACTCCAGGATCGCCCAGACCTCTGCTTCCCCGTCTGAGTCCATGGAGGAGACATCCGAATAGTCGAGCAAGGACTCGTCGTCGCGCTCGACCTGATAGGCAGGCACCTGAGGTAGAGGTGCTTCCGAGCCCATAGTGGCGTAGGTCCTCCGCGCTTTGAGATGCTCTCGATGGGAGATGTCCATCTCCCGAATAGCCGAGAGAGCCGACTTGTAGTCCTTCTGGTCCCTCATGAGCACCTTGACCATCTGCGCCGAGCGCTCGTCGAGAGAAACTCCTTCCTCCAGGAACATCAGTTTCCACTCGTCTGGAAGCGGCAGCCCCTGAGTAGCTCCCCTGTCGAAGGCCGTGTCCACACGTGCACAATATTCGGTGAGATTCTCTCCCTGCTTGCGTGAATAATCCAGTAAGCACTCTCGAGCGACCTTCCGTCGCTCGTCGCCGTGTCTTTCACCAGACATCAAGTCAAGGCGTTTGATAATGGCGTCGAAACCCCATGAGCTGCATAGCGTGTCGTCATCGAGGTCCTCGAGCTTCCGTTGAAGGTCTTGATCAAGAGAGCGGAAGAGGCGATCAGCCTGCTTGTGGGAGGGAACGTCCGTCAGTGTTCTCCAGCGCAGCACCGTGCGGCGCCACATGCGGTAGTCCCCCCAGCCTCTCCATGTCTCGGGGTCGGCGAAGTCCTTGCCGGTGTTCGTGCTGGGGCGGTCGTCATCATGTCTGGAGTGGCGCTAATTGGGCTCCCACTTGCTGTCCTTGTAGCTGTCGTTCCATCTCCATCCGGATGACCAGTCGCCCCGATGCTCGTCTTTCCAACGCCTGTCCCCGTAGCTCTCCCAGGTCGAAGCCGGAGTCCAGGTGGATCGCGAAGAAGCCCACTGCTGCTCGCCAGGCTTGTAGTCCGGCTCCTGCCATGTGTTTCTCGTCGCGTCCCAGCCACCCGAATGCCACTGCTCCGACCTGCCCTGGGACGTCTCGGTGGCGGACGCGGCCGCGCCACCACCGGACCATGTCCCGGCACTCGTCGACTCGTGCTCTGGCGGTGGTGCATGCCAGCCTGACCACGAGCGATCCTCGGCGCTTGACCACGGAGCACTTGAGCTCTGCCCGTGACCGCGCCGACGTCCACTGTCGTCGTCGTCCCCATGTGGGTCACGCTGGTGACTCTGGGAACTGGCCGGCACCACGTCCAGTAGTAAAAGACGTGCCAACTTCTCTGCCTCATCTTGGTCGAGGTTGAGACCGTCATGCCTCATCAGTGTGTCAGTCACTGCCCGTACTGCAGAATGCTCCCCTCGTTCTTCTCGCTGTGTCTCTCGATTAGCACCTTGCTCCGCTGCTGCCGTCATTGGTCCGCGGACTCAGAGCTGCTCACAGCTCCGCTACCACTGTCGCCCGACGGACGACAGCAGTGAAGCCAAAGTGTCGGATCCTTTCTCCAGCAAGAGAACCCTCGCACTCTCTTCTCAGTACACAGCTCCCAACGCTGTACAAACAAGGCGCGGAACGGTATGGGAAAGGAAGAGGGGTAGGGTGGATATGGTATGAGTGATGAGGAATGAGTAGAAGTTGGGTCTTGAGCCAAAATGGCTACGACCCATGCTCGTGACCTTCAAGCTCAGGGAGTCTAGCAGGGGCATCGGCCTTGAAAACCACAGGCCTCTAGACTCAAATCACACACAACGAACGCCCCCACCGTATGTCGGGGGCGCGCAAGCATGGATCAGCGATCCATGGATTTGGCGCACGGTCGCCAACCCCATGGATCGGGGGAGGTGCCCACCACAAAATGCGGCCTGTGCCGCCTCGCTCGGCGGCGGACATCCGCGATTCCTCATGGAAACGGGACCCGTCGCTAATCCCCCCCCCCTTGATCCATGTTTGAAGGGGCCCTGGGACACACAAATGAAAGGATTCCCCATCTCATCCCATATTTCCTGGGCTTCTATCTTCCCCCCCACTGCCCATATTTCCCCATATTTCCTGGGGAATCGACGGTTCACTGTTTCTGTATCTTTTTCCCTCCTGAGCGTTTGCGATCGCCCGAGTAGGGGGCACCTCCTCCGAGGGGTTGCCCCCAGAGGGGCGGGCCCCCGAGGGAGGCGGGCCCGCCGAGCGGCGGCCGGGCGGCCGTGGCGCGCGCCTCCCGCAGCAGCAGCGCCGCCGCGGCGGCGCCGCGGGGGCGGATGCCGAGCACCAGCGGCTCGGGGTCGCCCAGGCGGCAGGCCTCCTGTGGGCACACATCATCTTCGTCACGCGGTGCGAAGTTCCCTTCCCCCCCGCTCCTCCTCCTCCTCCTCCTCCTCCTCCTCCTCCTCCTCCTCCTCCTCCTCCTCCTCCTCCTCCTCCTTCTCCTGTTCCTCCTCCTCCTCCTCCGCCTCCTCCCCGCCTCCTCATATTCCTCCACATTTTCTTCGTTTTCCTCCCCATCACCTCCTCGTTGTCCTCCTCCTCTCGTCATCATCATCATCATCATCATCATCAGCATCATCATCATCATCATCATCATCATCATCAGCATCATCATCATCATCATCATCACGATCAACATCAACAACAACAACAACATCATCATCATCATCATAATCATCAGCATTAGCATATCCATCATCAGCATCAGCATCATCGTCATCATCATCCTCCTCATCATCATCATCATCATCATCAGAATCATCATCAGCATAATCATCGTCATCATCATCGTCATCAGCATCAGCATCATCATCAGCATCATCAGCATCATCACCACCAACACCACCACGACCATCATCAACAACATCGTCATCATCATCAATCTCCGTGTCATCAACAGCATCATCATCAACATCATCATCGTCCTCATCACCACCATCGTCGTAATCATCATCCTCATCAACAGCACCATCCTCATCACATCATCATCAGCAACAACAGAATCATCATCGCCATCGCCATCACCATTACCATCACCGTCATAATCATCGTCAGCAACATCATCATCCTCATCATCATCATCGTAATTAGCAGCATCACCATCACTATCACCGTCATCATCATCATCATCATCATCGTAATCCCTTCCTCCTCCCTCTCATCATCCTCACCAAGCGCATCACAATCACTATCATCATGATCGTCATCATCAATCAACAGCATCACCATCAACATCATCATCCTCATGATCGACATCACCATCATCAGGATCTTCGCCACCTTCATCAACTTCATCATCATCATCAGCCCCTCCTCCGCCTCCTGATCGTCACCATCACGATCACCATCACCATCACCATCACCATCACCATGCCTATTATCAAGATCATCTTCATTGTCGTGATCATCCTGATTAGGAGCAGCATCCAAGTTCTCGTCATCAAGATCGCACCATCATCATCAGCAGCAGCAGTAGCATCACCATTTGTGTATGGGGTTGAAGTACAAGAGTACAGAACCCCTGATCCGTTGGTAGAGAGATGGAGGGATAGATGGATATCTTTCCCTCCCAAGCGATCAACGTACGATCGCTCCAACTCAGTACCTGAGCCCAAACGGCCAGGTGCGGGAGAGGTAAGGATAAGGAGTATATATGAGGGTATTACACGGGTTCCACACACACCCCCCGTCCCGAATCCCGCCCGTGAAGGCAGGACTCGGGATCAGGAGGATGGAATCCGTAACCTCAGAACTCCTTTACCTTAAGTCTGAAAAGGCAGCTGGGCTAAAAGTCAGCGAAGCCACGCAAAGTGAGGTAAGAAGAGATACCTTGGGTCTCTTTTTCTTCTCCAGGCGGTCTTTGCCGCCCCCTCGGTGCGCCCCCCGAAACGCTTCGGCACTCGAGGGAGGAGAAGAATGAGACAAAGGTAGGCGGAGAAAGAAGATCTGAGCACCAAGGCAACGTAAACCGCCTCGCAAGATTTGCGAGGCAGGTGTTGCCACCAGCTATCAGATTATTCTCGACGCAATATTGTTAAATTGTTAAAATATGCATGCTAAGATCGCGTTGACGAACACAATCTTGAAATCAAACACAAGTCTGCCTAAAAGCAAATGTATGCCAAGATCGCGTTGACGAACACGATCCTGAAAGAAATGCAAATCTGCGTTAAAGCAAGTACCTGGCCAGGAGAAAATGTCGTGTTGATGAACACGAAAATGATGTATAAAATCTGTTTGGCGACTCCCGTTGGCGTTGCTCCTTAGGAGGCTGCCTCGGTGATCGCAAAAGATATCTATATGTGTGTATGGCCACTTGTGTGAAAGATTGAAGTGGCCTAAAAGAATGTATTAGCCACCGCTCAAGGCGAACTTTGATGAACGGAAGTTCTGCTCTTGAGCAGTGGACCTTGCGGCCGACTCACTACGCGTCGCCGTCCTTGTAGAACCTGCGGTCCCACACCCTCTGGCCGTTGTACGTCACATAGCTTGTCGTAAACGTTTCCCAAGTGGTCCTCGGGATCCAGTTGCGGAACCAATCGTTGTACGTGATATCCTGGATGTACACATACTCGTCGTTGTTGATCGCAATGTAGATCCAACATTTGATGTAATAACTCCAGTATCGAAGACCCCAATCGCTGTCCTCGAGATTGTGGCGCCAGTAAGCAGCGTAATCAGATGTACGTGCTCTCTTGGCGCGCGGCATCGCGGGCATGTAGTCCTCTGCGCCTGAGGCGCTGGATGCAGCGGCGTCGCCAGGAGCAGGGCGCGGCGGCGGCCGCGGCGGCGGCCGCGGCTCCATGGCGTCATCGGACTGTTGGGAGTGTGTATCTGGATCGGTTCTCATCCCTGTACTACCCCCCCTCTGGTCAGTGTGTGACGGATCGAGGGGGCCTATCAGCTCGTTGGCAATCGCGGCAAGCTTGCGCTGGGTGAACTGTTCACGGGTTCCGTCCCCTCGAGGGAGAGAAACCGTAATCAGTCCGCGCGCCTGCCGCGTCTGCCTGTCAATGCGTCCCTCGTTCAGCCACCACTTTCTCCGACCAGCCTGTCCTGTCCTAATACTGACGTCAAGGATGTCCCACGCGTCGCGCATGTCCTCGACTCTCCAGGGCTTCTTGCCGACATTCACGCGGGCTCCTGTCATCTGATGATGGAATCTGAGGTCGTTGAGAAAGCGTTGAATGAGATTGGCGCATGGGTAGTACAGAGGTCGGTCGTCCTCGGATTCGCCCATTAATCTGCATTCGTGTGCAGGCGGGCTACCGGCTTCGACCCACTTCTGATACCTTTTCTTGGACGTATTGGCCAATCTCCGCAACTGATCTTTCTCTGTGCCTATGGGGGATCGCGCACCCGCCATAATGACATGTGCGCCATCCTTCATGTATCTCGCGACCTGGTCCTCGGACAACGTCGTCTTGATCCAGTTCGTCAACTTCTGGAGGTACGCGAGGTCACTCTGTGTGGCGGTGCTCTTACCTGTGGCGCCTACGGCCACAGTGTATTGCCAACATATATCACAGAGTGTGCCGTCACCTGTGACGATACCGAGGGACAGATCTCGACCGCAATTGTTACAGAGCGGTATGGGATGCAAGATCGTCTCGGGGGCCCCTGCCGAAGTCAGGTGATCGCGGGATCCCCAGCGGGTGTCCTGACCGCGAGCGAGGCTCTGACCGATCTGATTGATCGCCTCACGATTGATCTCGGTGTTTGGTCTGGAAGCGATCGATCTGCTTAAACCCTCGATCTCGATCCGAGACAACCTTTCCCCTGGCAGTCCTTTGTACTCTATCTTGACGTTGTCGGTATCCTCAGTACCGCCATGGCATACGTTCTCCTCACGAAGACGGCGAGCCTGCTTCTGCAAGGTAGCCTCGTTGTCGCCCTCCTCGCGCTTGAGTCCCGTCTGTTCAGCTATGATGCGTACCATAGTCTCCTGATCGGGAGCTGCAGACGCAACACTGCCTGGGTCCTGGGGAATATCCTGCTCAGCGCCCTCCTCTCGAGGCGCAGCAGGTGTTTCCACCAGCTCTTCCCACACAGGAAACTCTGGATCACCGTATGTCGCAGTACAATTTTGTATAGGTCACGCAATGCCTGAAGTGCAGGATGGTTGTCATGGATGACTTCCTTGGCGAAATCTGGTAGCTCCACAATACTATCTTTCAAGATGTTCTGGTATACTTTGGAAATCCATTGAAAGATGCCAGTGGTCGACTCCTCGATAGTCTCCGGGTCGAGGTAGTGTACCAACTTTTTGAAAAAGTGATCTGCACCACAATTGGGTAAGTCATGTGCCCACTTGTGGGTATGATTGTAGTTCAAAAGATATGACTCCGCGTTCCATGCTTTCGATCCAAATCGAATTTCAAATTGTAAATGTGACTGAATTTTGTCCATTACGATTCTGTCTGCGCCACTGTGTATCTCAATGATCTGCCTCATCTTGATCATAGGCGAATCCACCAATAGCGCCGATGTCCAACAATACACGCGGCAATCATCAGACTGTCTAATCCATCTTGAATCCTCGTCGGGGTCGTAGTCTGGATGATCAAGGAAATTCGATGGCGGATCAATGATGTTATCGAGGATGCTTGCCTCGATCTGCTCTTCTGCTTGGATGTCTGCCGAGAGGTCTGCCCTCATGTTGTCGTTCGCAGCTTTCTCATCTGCAGTAAGAACGATATTTGATATGTCCACGATTACGGTGATCAGTGGATCATGCGATGATGCTGTACCCTGTCGAGGAATGTCGCCCGTCTGAGCGTTGTCCTCGGCAGGTGTGGCCACCAGCTCGTCTGGATCAGGTGTCCGTGGAGCGGGCCTTCTTGGTGGTGTACGCGGAATACGTGGTCTATGGATGCTAGGCATTCCAAGGTATGGTAAGCTGCCGCTAACCTTGTGCTGCAGTATGTCCTCGCTGCAAGATGTCGGGCCTTTCAGGGCAGTCTCCATCCATGTTGGATCGATGGCGTGTTCTTCGATACGAATCGGCAATGCAAATACAACGCCCTTGAGGGGCATGCTTTTGTCATTATACCAGATATTTACCCATCGTAAACCGTAGTTGAGAATAGGTACTTGTACCGCAAAGAACTTGTCGAAGATGCCGAAATGGATGATTGGACCATATATGTGTCCCTTGGACAAGGCAATCTTGGTATTGTGATTGCCTTTGGGCCAATGGTTGTCGTAGTGGAAGCATTTGGTAGAACCCCAATTCTTAATGACAATGAAGTCGCCCATTCGAACATCGTTAAATGCAGGACGACGATCCCAATCTTTTTGCATGATCTTTGCTGTGAT